GTCGTCTACCCGGCCGGTCCCGGTTCGGTCCGGTCCTTAATTTTTAAAAAGAAAAATTATTAGAAAATACAAAAAATATGTATATTTATTATAAACACTACATTGTCAGTTGTATCAATATCACATTTGAAAATTACAATTGAGAATACTTTAAAGTTGAAAATTACAATACATGAACTAATCGTTGTCACCGCTTTCGGCATCGGTTGTCGTTTCCTCCATGAAATGGCGGTCCGGTGCTATATTGAGTTTTTGTGTTCTATGGCGGGCGGGCCTTCAACCGATCATAGAAACAAACGAGTGTCTCGAGAGATGAAGCGTTCAACCTCGTTCTATAGTCAGCTAAAACGTTACCGGCTGACTACAGTTGTTCCACGACAACAGTTGAAACCGGCATCGACAAGACTTGTTTGGCCATTTCTTCAACAATTAACTCAAACATAGCTTTTAAATGTACCTCATCATTGCAAGATAAATTACCGAAGGGTTGATCATTTCCAAACCTCAATGTTTGTGTTTGCGTCCCCATGCCCTTCAGTTTCGCCGCCTCCATGGGGTGCCTCGCGTTTAATTGCCTTTGCACCATGACGTATCCCCTAGAAATACCCATGCACAATATTTGCAAACAATGTTGGCAATGTGCGTAATACTTCCCGTCCGTCGGATTCTTTGTCTTCCTAAAATGACCTTTAGCAAAAAGAGAAGATTTTAGTTTAGACTTACGTTTGTTGACCGCTTCGGATCCACCCTCGTCATGCTCCTCCTCCTCATGCTCCTCTTCGCCATCCCCCACATTCTCGCCGCCTCCTCCAACATCCTCCTCGGCATCATCGTCCTCCAACTCCTCTTCAATGGCAGGGATGTTTTGTTGATGGTAAAATTGACCTTGGTTTTGGTTCAAGAGCTCTTGAAGTTGCCCATCCGTCATCGCATCTCTACGATCATAATCGGTCGTCCAATCATCGCGTGATTGGGACAAAGTTGCTGCCTCTACTTGTCGTTTACCTTTCACTCCAACCTAATGTAAGAGTCTCGCAAAAGCAAGCATACATGACAAATAAAACAATATGTAGTTCGAAGTAAAAACACAAACAAAATAAAACAGAAATAGAAACAAGCGTCCAAACCCTAGTCGCACAATTCCTCCATGGCGGCGGTTCGGGAGGGGGACGGATCAACCTCCCATCGTCTTCTATCGCCCGTACACACCTGTTTGGAGTCTCTTCCTCGCCCATGGCCTCCTCTTCCAGACACAGATCATCCTCATCACCCCCGAGAGTAAGCTTAGCCCATTTGTTGACCGTCTTCTCCATCTCTACCATCGGACAAGGGCTCTCCACCAGCGTTGGTACAAACTACTAGGGACAAACCCTTGAGACGGCCGCACCTTACGAGATTATATAGGGTACCAGAACTCGGTCTCCTGCTTCCTGTCTAGGTGCGAACGAAGCTCTGCGGCACCCTTCAATACCCTCGCCGTTGCTTCTTCTCGCTCCGATCGGGAAAAATTCCTAAGGCGGCGGCGGTACTTTTAGGGTCTACGCATCTGGATGGATTGGATTTTTCTCTGTTATTTATTCCGCGGGGCTAGACTGAAGGGTAAATTTTATAGGACGGCAATTAGGCCTGCATTAATGTATAGCGTAGAGTGTTGGGCGGTGAAATAATGTCACATTCAAAAGATGAGTGTGGCAGAGATGCGCATGCTGCGTTGGATGTGTGGACATACTAGGAAGGACCGCGTGAGGAATGATACAATCAGACAAAGGGTGGGAGTGGCACCTATTGAAGACAATATGCGGGAGTCGCGCCTACGGTGATTTGGTCACGTGCGTAGAAGACCGAGTGATGCACCTGTCAGACGAGTTGAGATGTGTGGAGAAGATGCAGAGAAGAGAGGGAGAGGAAGACCCAAACAGACGTGGGTTAGGGGAGTTCGAAGTGATATGCTTGTTCTGGGATTGGATGAAAGCATGACTTTGAAGAGAGCTAAGTGGATGGGCGGGTATTCGTGTGGAGGAGTGATCTCGTATCATCTTTTTCCCTCATCTTTTTTCCTTGTTTTTTATCCTTATATATATAAGCATTATTTGTATCCTTTTTATTTTATCAGTTTTATGTATATTCATCTCTTTTATTATTATCTTTTTATAATAGCTTGTCTTTTTTATCTTTATTTCTTTTCTTTTCCTTTTGGTGGTGATATCATGTATCGATTCATGTTAGTCGACTCCAATATCTTTTGGAACTAAGGCTTGGATGTTGTTGTTTTGTTGTTGTATTTATTCTGTCGGGCGCCTTTAACAAAAACTACAATTTAACAAACAAAATTTTGAAGAACTAGTTAAATATTTAAATCACTTAATTGCAACTACTATGAAATAAAATGTACCAATAGTTAAAAATGTGATTAACTACTTAAATGCAGGTAGTATCAAATAAAGTGTAGAAGTGTAGAACTATTAAAATTTAACAACAACTACAATTTAACAAAAAATTAAAATTTGAAGAACTAGTTCAATACTTATAATGCAACTACTAAGAACTACGAAAATATACTAACAACAATTTGTAATATTAACAACAATTTAAAATGTGAATCCTATTATTAAAATGTTACCAAATGCAAGTACTACAAAAAAAATTGTTAAATGATCAAAATGGAACTACCAATATACGGAGTATTATATTGGTAACAATGTGACTACTACTATTAAAATGTTACTAAATGCAACTACTATACTAATTACAATTTGTAATATTAGCCACTAAATAAATTTCTACTATTAATGATTATAGTATTTATATATATATTCCGTATATATATATATATATTATGTTATATATTTAATATATTTCCGACTATTATATTAAATTGTATATATTCTTTGTATTTCGTGTGTGTGTGTGAGTATATATATATATATATATATATATATATATATATATATATATATATATATAGGAGGTTCAAATACAAAGAGGTCTTCCCATGCAAAGTGAGAATTAATCTCGTGCGTTCATTTTGAGATCTAATGGTTCAAAATGAGCCAAAAGTAAACTAAATTTGATCAAAAACGCGGTGGCAATTTCGTAATTAAAACGAAATTTTTTGTCATCGCGAAAAAGTGCAACAGAAACACACAAAAGTGCAACGCGGTGAAGAAAAAGTGCAATTGTTCGCACTTTGCACGGGAGAACATCTTTTTATTTGATCTCTTCCCTATATATATATATGTGTGTGTGTGTGTGTGTGTGTGTGTATTAATGTATAACAATTACTTAATTATACAATGGGAAGTAATTAACAAAAATGTAGGAAGTAGGAACTAGTTAACTACAACAATATAGAAACTAGTTAACTACAAATGTATATAATTAAATATATATGTTAAATATGAAAGTGTATGAGTATATAAATATAATTGTAATATAATATATTTGATAAAAAAGATTGAAAGAGTAGGAGTAGGAATGTAAAAATACAAATTATAAATATTTATATAGTATTATTGTGTAATTAACAAAAATGTAGGAAGTAGTAACTAGTTAACTACAACAATGTAGGAACTAGTTAACTACAAATGTATGTAATTAAATATATATGTTAAATATGAAATTAGTGTAGGAGTATATAAATATAATTATAGTATAATATGTTTAACAAGAAAGATTGAAAGAGTAGGAGTAGGAATGTAAAAATAGAAATTATAAATATTTACATAGTATTATTGTGTGATAATTAATAAGTATATAAATATAATTATAAAATTAGTAGAATTAGTGATTGAGAGTGAGAATTGAGAGTATAGAATTTGAGTAGAAGTAGAATAGTGTGAAAAAATGTATAAAATGAGTAGATATTTATAGGGGAAAAAATTGGTAACCCCACCCCCAAACCCCTCCCCAACGACCTTATAGTCGTTACTAGCCGTTTGGAACGGCTAGTATTACCCCAGCCCCCCTATTAAATTTTTAAAAAAAATGGTCGTTGGGACCGGAACCGAACCTGGGATCGCCCGGTCTGGTCCCCATTTTACCTTACCCGGGACCGAGTCCGATACTACCCGGTCGGGTACTCGGTCCAAGACTGGGACTGGAAAACCGGACCCGGTCCGGTCCCGCACAGTTGCGGATCCGATTCCAGTGTGGTCCAGGACTGCCGACCGGATCCATCCCTACTTAAGCCCTTGTACCAAAAACAAAAAGGTGTCATATAAGTATACTTACATTAAAAAATTGGAAAAATAATTAAAATACCCCAAACTTTGAAATGGTGTGAGATGAACACCCCAAACTTGCATATGTATTTAAGTACCCCAAACTTTATATAAAAATTTATTTTGGCACCATAATAATCAAGTGTTATTTTTTTCAAAAATGTAAATTTATGGTGTTAATTGCATAATTTAAAAATATTTTAAAATTAATGAAGACACAATTAACATTTTAAACATCCATTGCGAAATAAATAATGTTACACTCAATCTATATAATTGCTACACTTTTAATTTGCTATTTTAAATTATGCAACTAACCCCATAAATTTACATTTTTGAGAAAAATAATACGTGATAATGGTGCAAAAATACTTTTTATATAAAGTTCGGGGTATTTAAATTATATACGCAAGTTAGGGTGTTTCCTTCACACCCCATCAAAGTTTGGGTATTTTTATTATTTTCCCTTAAAAAATCAATCAATTTGACCATTTATTCGAAATATCAAAGTCAATATTTCTTAAATTTTGATATCATTTTTTATATTCTACACCTATTTAAAAGGATTTTACATTTTATAATTTTTATTTCTACGGTTTCACTTTATTTGCTTTTTTTAATAAAGGATTTAAGTGATAAATGGAAAATAAGGAAGAATCTATTTGACCTTTTCCCCAACAAATTAATACATAAGTCCGCATCTAGAAGTTGTAGAAAATGGTACTTCGTATAAATCTCAGACACGCAAAATGGCACTTTCAATAATTACCATGCAGGTCAAAATAGTAAGAGACTAAGAGCTGATTGTAAATAATTACTTGTAAAGACACCAAGACTACAAAATTTGAAGCCAATTAGGGCATTAAAGTATAGGAATTTTATCAATTCAGAATCCGAAAGATAGATGAATTATCAATCCGGGACCTGAAAGATGATATGCATCAGTATAGAATCTGAATGATGAAAAACTATCATTATAAGACCTGAATGATTTAAAATTATCGATCTAAGACCTAAGTTGTCATAAATTTTATTAATTTTTTTATTTTAAAAATTTTAAATATCATTTAGTTTTAATAAACTAATAAAGTTTTGTAAAGACAAGTTTATCAAAAACTAGCAATGAAATTAATAAATAATTAAATAAATCATAACCTATGAAATGTTAGGTCCTAGATTGATAGTTTTCCATCATTCGGGTCCTATACCGATACAAATCATCTTTCAGGTTCCGGATTGATAATTCATCTATGTTTCGGATACTGGATTGATAAAATTCCTAAAGTATACATATTATACTTGTTTTCCTCTTCAATAAAAAAGGGGAAAATTCCCGAGTACAAACAATTGGGAATTCCAGAATAGGAGTGATGTATTTTACTTCTCTAAATAGGAGTACTTTAAACATGGCAATATACAGCAAAAATGACAATATTTTCCTAGTTTAACACTAATTACTCATTCAGAGAGTAAAAACAAACATTCCTATTTTTGTAGTGCCCATACGTTTTAATCCTAATTAAGGCAATTTCTTATATATAAAATGACTAAGAGTTGTAGTCCACAAGCCCAAGATCTCTAAGTGCGTCCGTAGCTGCAGCTTTACAGCTTTTGTGGGTTGACTTGGCCTTCCGAACAAGCTTCTCTATACCATTTGCCAACAAAAGCACTCTGCAGAAGTTGAAACAACATAATTCCATTTTTTTTCTTTCCTTGCTGAGCCACACGTTTTCCCGTACTAGACAACCAGGATATACAAGTGAATTAGGGAGAGTGGGGGAGACAGACGTACCTGTTCTCAGGATTTCTAGCCACAAGATTACGGATCATGAAACAAGCATTCCGTTGTAGTTGCTCCGATTGAAGAAACCGTTCCATGGATTGAATGGCAAGATCACCTGCTCCAGCTTCAATGGCACGAGCTGCTTTCTCTGGGGATCTCAAGCATAGCACGGTAAAAATAGACATTATCTGTGTCACAAAATATACATATTTTTTGAATAATTTGTAGTTTTATAGAATTTGCAGCATGACCATAATGTTTGGATATCATTTACCTCTTGAAGTACAGAAGGATCATTAGAAAACTGCATTGATAGTCTAATAAGCCTATCCATTCCTCTCTTCTCCACTATCGCACATTTGTTTGCATCACTTCCTGCTAACTAGTCAGCTCTAACAGATCAGCTTTTCTTCAAGTTTCAAATACAATTTCAATCATGGCCCCCATAATTATTTAAGAATACATAATACAAGCTAACACAAGGGAACATCAAATGCTGTGACTTCAAAATACAAACATAAGGCAGAGCGACAACGCCAACAAGTGCCAACATGAAAATATGTCACTTAAGTACTTAACCTTCGTTTAGTCAAGGTAAAATAGGAGAAAAAGAAATAGAAGATGCATTAAAAGAGAAATAAAGAATTTTTACGGTTTTGGGAAAGGAGAAATATGAGTGAAATGAATAAAGTGGGTCCTACTATTTATTCCTTCTCTCTTGCCCAAAAACGTACAAAACCTTAGTTTTTTGGTAATACTTTTCTTTGTGCGTCTCTTTAAACAAGAGAAACACTAAAAAAAAAAGCATCAGGTCTCTGATATAATTCATTCATTCATCACCATCACCCTAGTGCTGCAAAGGCTCTCACCTTCGGTAGGGTAAGGGGGTCGGAGATATAACATCATCATCATCATTTTCATTTACCCCAGTGCCGCAAAGGCTCCCACCTACGGTGGGGTAGGGGGGGGGGGGGCGGATGTACCTCTTACCCCTGTACTAAAGCACAGAGAGACTGTTTCTGGATGACCCATAGTGAAAATCGCGTCCAAAATTGCATGGACCGATCACGTCCATAACAAAGAAGCGCAGACAGTTTAGTGAGCCATTTTGCTTTATTCCATCATAATCTCAAGCCAAAAAATTGGCTCCATTGCAAATGATGGAAAATTTGCAAATGTGCCCTCGAAGTAATATATACGAATAAAAATTTAAAACCAAACAGCAAAAAAGTAGTAACCATGCTTAGTACCTTACATAACAAAGAGCAACAAGTTTTGGCTAAGGTTTGATTTCCCTGTTGTCCACTATCATCAATACAAGAAAGAATTACATCTAAACCATTGTTGTCAGCAACAGCTCTGCATATTTCTTCCTGAAAAGATGATGCAGGAGTGGAGAAAACAGGTTCAGTAGAAAAATTGAAATTATTTAGCAAACAAGGATTTCATTATACTTCCTCCGTCCCAATTTGTTTTGCAAAGTCAACATTTTTTGGTCAACTAATAATAAAAGTCAACCTTCCGTATTGATAATTAATTCAACTTTTAATAATTAAAATTTACATATTCATAAACTACATTAAAATATCTTCAAAGTTGTAAACTCCAAATTAGAACATAATTAAAAATTGACATCCAAATTAAGTGATCAAAACGAGACTGTTTGACTAAGAAAAGTCAAATTTGCATATCTTTTGGGGACGGAGGTAGTACATGTTTGGAGACCAAATACAAGTTTTCTAACTAGTAACTTCAGATGAAAAGGCTTACATTAACAGCAACTAATTTCAAAGCATTACATGCTGGCAACATACTGGGTGACCTGATCCCCTGACTGAGAGATCCCACAAGCGCTTCAACAACTCCAATCTTTGCAAATCTTCGGGCATACCCGAAAACCTACTATTCAGAAACAGACATTAAAAGCTAAACAAAGTAACTACCAAGTGAAGAGCTCTTCAATCTTAACACTTTCAACTTATGTTGGGGAAAAACTCCTGCATAGACTTCTAGAAGTCCAACTAAAAAAATATTCTACTTACTTGTGAGGCTATCACACGATTATCATCGGATGTTAGCAGGACTCGCATGGCATCATATAAAGGAGTGCCCCCACTTGGGTGTTCCCTCAGGCACTGAACGATGAATTCATCAATTTTCATGTCCATAAATAAATCTTTTATAACTTCATTACCAGTTGCAGCTGCCGCAATGACAGAAAATCCACTATCCAAGATGCTAAGATCTTGGATCTTATCATTAAGGATATCTACAACAGCCTTTGCTCCACCACTCTCCCTAAATATTTCTGTGCTTTGAAGATCTGTGAATAGAAAAACAACAGCCACATGTACAAATGAATTGTATGAATTTAAAAGGTTGATGCAATGTGTAAAGTGAAAACTATACGGTTTCCTAAATAAATAACCCAAGAATAACCTTTAGGGTCTGTTTGGAGTTCGGATAGCGGGTTTTGGAAGAATATGGAGGGTGAGTATATATTACGGAGTATGATTTATAAAATGTTTATAAAAGAAAATAAAAGAATTTTAAATGTTTTTTTTTCAGAAGATTGAAATGTTATGTGATAGTATATTATGTTAGTCCATCAATTTTATAAACTGTTTAAGCACATATCAAGACATAGATTAAGCCCCCTAAAGACTTGTCCTACATAGATTAAGCCCACTTCAAGAATGGAAGAATAAAGATCCTATTCCTATTAAATAATGTTAGAAGAACATACTGAATGTCAATTGCTGCAAACCAATTTAGTGCACTTAATGTAAAATACACATTTATTTTCCATCATTTGCAATGGAGCCAAAGATTCATTATTTTTTGGCTTGAGATTATGATGGAATAAAGCAAAATAGCTCACTAAATTGTCTATGCTTCTTTGTTATGGAGCAGTAGTCAGTCCATGCAATTTTGGACGCGATTTTCACTATGGGTCATCCGGAAACAGTCTCTCTGTGCTTTAGTACAGGGGTAAGACTGCGTACATCCGACCCCCTCTTACCTCACCGTAGGTGGGAGCCTTTGCGGCACTGGGGTAAATGAAAATGAATGTAAAATACACATTTAGAAGTCAAACTAGAAGACCAAGCAATATTTCCTTAGCGGCTTAGCTGGATGAAGGATTTTGGAGGGGATTGGAAGGGAAGGCTTAGTCTATCGATGAATGGCCTCATGCCGCCTCGCGCCTTTTAAAACTAAGGTCTATATCGGGATAAATAGAACGTCCTATCACATGTGATCTAAATATATTTTAATTTTTATAAAATCTCATACAAGTGTATAGACATTGACTATGTTCTGAAAGATTTCCTTCAAAACGTTCCAAAACACCCCGTCCAATTATCCAAGCAGGCCTCAAAGTATGGCTTTAAAAAGTTGAGAATAGCTTAATGAGGCAGTAAGGCTCATACCATGAAGTAGCTTAGCCAATGTCGTGAAAGAAGATATCACACCCTGATTGCATCCACCTGGAAGCTTCAATAAAATCGAGCATACAAGTTGCACTCCGCCATTCTTAGTAGCAATGGCTACATTTCTCGATCCTTCATCAGCGCACAAATCATTCAACCTACCCAACAATTCCACAATTTCATTCAGAACATCATCGCTGTTGAATGTACCAGCCGATTCAAGATCCAACTGCTTCATCCGCTCGATCGTATGAATAACAGGATTGCTATTCACGGAGCTCTCCCCAGGAACGCAAGTCACAATCCCTACCGGACAGAAAAAGACATGTTATCCGATATGCATTGTTCCTAGGTGGGTGAGAAAGGGGCGCGAAGTAATATACCTGAAAGATCGACGCCTTGGAGATTTAGAGTTTCAATGACGTCTTCTAGAGCTTCAGTGGGACTCATCCCGATATCTTCTATGTTCTCCTTCACCATTTCATCGAATGCTTGCTGAGACACTGTGCGTACCGTCTTCGGTGGCCCCATTTAATCAGAGATCTCCGCTGCAATAGAGCAATCAGACCAGTACAGTAGAGTTAACAATGAGGAGTGGATAAAAGTGCCGCCGTATAGGATGGGGATTGGAACCGTGCGGATGGTTGCGGACTTCTTGTTCCAGGTTTCTGACGACAGAAAAGGTAATGTACAGGTTTTTAAATGAAGTGTTATATAAGTATTCTAAATTAGCATATGTAATATATAATCACCCTTATATAAAAACTTATATATCCACCTTAAGATAAGTACTCTAAGTATGTTTTTTTACAAATAGATGGAATTAAACGGCACTAATGGTTCCGTTTCATATTAATTCCTACCGCCACCTCATCGCTTATTAGAGATGGTATATACGTTGTTTCTTCTCGCCTGTCTCTATGTTCTTCCCTTTCTTCTTTTTCTACTATTTTCTTCTCCATCTTCTCTTTATGACATAATTTTTGTTTCATTTTGTAATCATATTCACCCAGGGGCGGACCCAGGAAAGTCATTTTCGGGGGGCGAAAATATTTTTGGAGAGTTCAAAATACTTTTTGGAAGAGTAAAAATTATTTTTCGTATATATATACACTAAAAAAAAATGTTGGGGGCGGTAGCCCCCCTGGGTCTCTACTACGGTCTTCTCACGCAATAATATGCCTCACTACACAATCTTCTCACGCAATAATATGTACCCTAATTTTTTCTTGCTCATAAAGGTTTACCTTAATTTACTTGTTTCATCCATGAAACCCTAAGTCCGAGTTTTCTTCTTCAAGATGACCTATAGTAATTCTAACGAAGCACAATCAACGATTACTCCATCATCAAAAAGCATATCAAAAATACTTGTGAAATGTGACCATGGCATGGTTTTAGCTTTGAAGACGGTGACATTTGGGCCAAACAAGGGAAAGAAAGTCTATGGTTGTCCTTTATGGCATGTATAATTCATACAAAAATGTGAATAAATGCTTTTTTGTATTAGATTTTGACATTGGCACGGGCGGATGTAAGCATTGGGTAATGGGGGCACATGCCCCCAATAAAATATAACTATGAAGCTAAATGTATATATATGAAAACTTTTTGTTTGTAGAAAAATAAGACTTGCCCCCATTAAAAAGTTTATGTTGCCCCCAACAAAAATAATTTTATACAGGAAGGATTATGATGATATTTATTGTTGTATATGCTTAACTTATTTGAGTTATAAATGGTTGAAAGAAATGTTAATAGGACAACAAAAATATGAAAAAATTGTCAATAGTTTAGTTAGTTTCCAAAATCGTAAATTTAAAATATGATGATAGCAATTAAAATGAGTTTTTTTGTTTAGTAATTAGTTTATTTGAATTTGACTTGCATGCTATTTATGTTATTATTTATAAATATCAGCTAATTCTTATAGGAAATTCCCCTAAATAGAAGTACATAAGTTTTGGAATTCTAAATAGAATGATTATGTTTTTCTTCAAAAGTATGAGTCGTTATTGCCATTATCGAAAATACTTCTACGGATGATTATGTATGCCATTATTTAGGGGAATTCCCTAATACGTATTGCCATTATTTAGGGGAATTCCCCAAAATACTTTCACTTTATCCATTTTTGGTACCTGACTATTGTTTTATTGACCATTTGTGGTCCATTTCTGAGCATTTTTACTATCGGAAAAGGATTATATATGGTCAAGAAAACAATAGTCAGATACCAAAAATGGATAAAATGATAGACGAGGATTGATCGTGGAATTGGTGAGAATCTGCCAACAAGTCGCTTTAGTCATCCATTACATCAAAAACAAATACAAAGTCAACAACCAATCTTTCTCAAAATGAGAAGTCATAACAATGAAATAGAAGTGCATATCGAGAAGGACATATCTTTGGAAGACTCATTCCTATCTTTCGAAGTCAACAACCAATCTTTTGAAGACTCATTATCATCTAAAAGAAAAAGGATTACATTAATAACTTGATTATCCAAAGAATCCCAAAGAGTTGTTTCTGGTATGCTACTTCTCCCCCAAATACTCGACCCTCTCTTCAATTTTTCTCTTCTTAATCGAGCCTGGTCGGGTAGTTCCAAGATTAGCAGCGAAGTGTGTAATTAGATAAAGAAAATCAGTCTGGTGATGAGAGAAAGAGTGTGTGAGGCAGTTGATGAGAGCGGGAGGAAGAAAAATCAAATGTTTTGAAGAGTAAATGGGGGGGGGGGGGGGGGGCATTAGCGGAAGAAACGGGATGTGTGGGAGGTGGATGGGGATTAAGAGCATCTACATTCATGATCTCTAATAATCAATTTTTTCTAGGATTCTTATCATTTAAATATTGTTATGTAATTAATTATAAAATAATCTCAAAATTTGTCTATGTCTCTCAATCATCATCTTCAAATAATCTGTTTTTTCTCTGTTCTGCATTAACCTCTATTACATATACTTTTCAAATAATCTTAAAATAATCATGATTCATATTTTGATCCCAGATTATTGTAGCAAATAATCTCATTAAATAATCTATGACATTCAATGATAATTTTCTAAAAAAACTGTCATGCCACCAATTTAATCTCATAATAATCCTCCCAATGAGGATGCCCTAAGCGGTATGAAAATGAAACATTAATTCCGTTTCATTTTATCTATTTATGTGGATGTGTTTAACGGTTTGGATTAATTGTGTCAATTCATTTGGTTGGGATTATTATTGTAAAACCAGTGAAGTACGAATTATTGGTGTCAATTTCACCTTTTAAAATTGATATAAAAATAATGTTATGCCAAAAACTCCAAAACTTATGTGCAGTTATTGATGTTGTAATTAGTGATGATATATATGGAAAACACATTATAGTGATGTTATGCTTGGTCAATGTTTTGGGAGGAAACCTCCGTCATTTTTTCTACTCCATATAAAACACAATCAATTTGATTTGATAGGGTACATTATAAATCTTTCAGGATTGAGTAAAATAACATACGTAATATATGAAGTATATCTACCAAAACATACGTAATTTAATTGATTTTCTCTTGTTTGTTCAAATTAATAATTATTTTTTACTTGCTTATTGTATTTAAAGTCCATTTATCCCATGAGTCTTTTTGTTTATTCGAGTAAAGTAAAATTACTATTAAACACTAAAGAATGTCAATAGATTTGGTTATTCCAGACATAAAATTGATGATACCTGTAAGGCTGTAACTATCGCCAAAATGGTCCAAACACTAAGAATGGTATAGTAAACTAATAATAACTTTTAGTGTGTATTAGTTACCTTTGCTAAATATAGTTAACCACATATCGAGACAAAATGTTTAACTAGCAGTAATATTTTGTAAGTATGTTAAGAGCTGATCAGATGATCGTAATAACAACTTTGTGTATGTGTTATGAACAAATAATATTAAAGATGACTCCATCAAACTTAATATTATCATTCTTTTAGGGTGAGACATTACTCCCGATCAATAAAAAAGTTGTTTTTACTCAACAGCCGTGGAAAGATATCTGTCATGTAATAATAAAATATGAGTAATTCTAAGGTGAAATTCACAAAGTGTGTTATGAGTAATATTTAGTAGTAATTCTCCTAAATATGAGTAAAACTAAGGTGAAATTCACAAAGAGGACCTTTTATGTTTTTATTCCCAAGTAGGAACAATCTACTCCTATTTTGAAACATGCTAAAATTAGCATCCCATTTTTACCCTTAAACCTATTTACCCTTTTCTCTCAGCTTCTCTTTCCAAACATCGATCGATACTTTCTCCATATGCGACCAAAGTGTCATCGCATGTCCATAGCCGCAGCTCACCTTCTGCCTTGCAACTTTGCCGGTTTTATCGCAGGGCACCTTCATCTTTTTTGCCTCCGCCTTCCACCATCGTCATCTTTGTTTTCCTCCGAATTTCAGGTTTTTCCCTTCTTCTTCCTCTTCATCTTCCTATTCCTATCCCTCTTTCTCTTCCTCTTCCTCTTCCTCTTATTTTTCTTCTTTTTAGTTTTAACATTGATTTTTCAGATCTTCCTCCTATTCTTTTGATTTTATGAGTTTTGACATTCATTTGGCTGATTTTTGGACCTCTGTTTCGTATTTCCGATTCAAATTTGTTACTTATTTAAAAATCCTGATTTTCTGGAATTTTGGATGATGGCATAAGATTTTGCCAAATTTATGGCAGAAATGTGCACACTGACAATCGATTATGGCAGAATAGATTTTAATTTGTGTAAATCAATTTTAATTTTTTTTGTCATAAGTGCTGTAGTTGTGATTTTCGACTGTATTAAAGTGTTTATTCCTTTGAAAATAATGTTTTTCGAATATTTAGTTGTTGAGTTCGTTTGTTTGCCAAATTTATGGCAATTTTGTATTATTCTTCCAAGACAAATCTGTCAACGGTGTTGGCAAATTTAAGAGTTCATACGAATGGCAGATTTCAATTAATATTAAAGGCCAAATCTGTCAACTTAATGGCAGATTTATGACATTAGTGTTTTGAAGGTGGTGGTGGTACGTGGTGCTTGAGTCCTTAATGTCAGATATCCAACTAGTGTCGCTATACCCTTCAAGTACAGTTGGATATCTTCCATAGTGCAGTCCAAGGTTTTGGGTTTTCCGTAAATACCTCAAAACTCTTACTATTGCCTTCCGGTGTTCATCACCGGGGTTGCTAGTATATCTACTAAGCTTACTAATCACAAAGGAATATCAGGCCTGGTACAACTCATTAGATACATTAAACTGCCAATAATCCTAGCGTATTCTACTTGAGAAATACACTCTCCACGATTTTTGGTCAGATGTACATTTTTATCTAATGGCGTCCTTGCCTCTTGATAATCATCCTTATTAAATTTAGTAAGGATTTTATCAA